TAAAATTATTAAGTGCATTACTATCTATAGTATAAAAAATTAGAGTTAACTCTCTTCAAAAACCCAAAATCAAGAAAAAAGAAAATTGGGTAAGTACTTTATTTCTTTATTATCATAAAAGTAACTAAAATGTAAAAATATGGCTCTTTTTAGGTTATTTAAGACTAGATTCGGTAAAATAAGTGATTATAATAATATAATTAAAATGGTTCACGAGTCACACACATGAGCAATATAATTCGATAAGGTAACATGAGCTGCACATTCCTCAAGTGATTTACAACTTATAATGGCACAGATAGTAGTTAGACACAGTTCAAAGGGCAATAAAAGAATAAAATTTAATTATATATATATGTATACTGTTACGAACTTACAGCTACTTAGGATAAACAAATGTAATTTCATGTTACAATTTGAAATCATTCTAGAAAGAAAAAATGGATAATTTAGGTATATTTCGATTTTTCTTTGGTGGTTGCGCGGTTGGACAATTTGACCGATCTCATTTTGAGATAGGGTGGAGAAAATAACAGAATAACTAAAACCTTGTGTCACGAGCAGTAAAGGGTACCTGGGGCAATAAGGTTAAGCACAAAGCTACAAATAGGCTGTCTATGCTGTGCCAAGGGGGGCTAATTTACAAAAAAATTATAATGAAGACCTCTTTGATATCAACTTTAATTTGGAGTGTATTACTATTTTTTGTCAGTAAGAAAATGAGAGAAAAGAAATTTTAATCAGAAAAAGTGCAAGTGATAAGGTCACTCATATCCATACCTAAGAAATATACTTTGTTTTCAAGAAATAATAGGTTATTTTATTGTGTGCATTGTTTGAATACAACAAATTTAATAATATTATTCAATGAATAAGTATAAGAGTCCTTGGAATATTTTACCATTGCCTAGTAGACTTTGTAAACCTAACTGAGCTTACCTTATTTCTTAGCATAGATAAAAGTTTCTGTAGCTTTCAAACATATATAATTTAACATGAAAACATTTTCAGGAACAAAAAGAACATTTAAAGAAACTATAAAAATTTCCATAGCTGAGCTTTGTTCTTAAGACTTATAAAATTCCCATTAAATTGCTTTCTTCATCCCAACATGAGCTCTGGCTAGTCAATATTTTGAGAAACCATAAATTGCTGCTCAAATCATTTTATTTACTCTACATTGACATACACACATAATAATCTTCTCTATCCAATCATATTTAAACATTGGCTAGAGTTAGTTTCAAAGCTAAGCTTCATTACTGACCATTCATACCACATGCTGTGAGATCATAAAAGAGCAGCAACAAAAGTCTGTAGTAATAGAAGCATTAACAAATATACAAAATTGCATGAGGATCAAGATACAAGTTACTATATTTTCAAGGGTGACACTTTCTTAGCAACTATAAATCTATACTTTGGGGATAGGAAAAAAAAATTCTAAAGAAATCAATAAACGTGTTTTTATATTCAAGATTCTTAAGAGTTGCATAGAAATTTTAAAAATTTGAATATTTCTTTATAAGTTACAAAATGCAGGATATCAGTTCTAAAATCTTTCTAAGACTAAAAAATTTTGAAAAGAGTATGAATTTTTTTTACTTCAACTTTGAAATTTGATATACAGGTATGCACTCAACACCATAAAAATGGTCACAGGTCATGGTAAGTCTGTTTTGAATATTAAAATAGCTTAAAATGAAATTTTGTCAAATATAATTGACAATCTTTGTTCGAATACATCCTCATGGTATTTAGATATATACATGTGTTCATTTAAAAAAAAATAGACAAATCACATAACATGATTGCCTCACAACAAAGGCTGAGATATTATCCATTCCTACACTCCATGCAAAAAGACATAAAACTTTAAATCCAACATAGTTTATATAAAACTCCTCACTAAAAACATTACGCAATGACTTGGAACTTACCATCCTTGCCAGCTCCTTGTGAAAACTCTCGACCACACTGACCTTTGTGATTAATTCCAAATGTATAAACATGGCCCTTGTTAGTTACAGTAACAACATGAGCCTTCCCTAGTGCTACTTGCATAACTGTAACATCTTTGAGCTCTGTAACTAACCCTATTTGAAAACACAAGACAGTAAGTTAATATTTAATGACACTGCATTTATAAACAATTTCACAATATAGAACAAAATGTACTTATACCTAAGTAAATAAAATAGTACATTTGAAACAATAAAAATTTAGCCCACTCATTATTCCAGGAATAGATAACGTTTAAATATGTTTTAAAGATAGGAAGCAAACAAACAAAAATGGAATTTAATTCTAATTGCTGTTTGAGTTTGTATTTGGTTTGTTTTGAATTACATGCAAAGCTACATAAAGGCTAGCTATGCTAGCTGTCCCTAATTTAGCAGTGAAAGACTAAAGGGAAGGCAGCTAGCCATCACCACCAACTCTTAGGCTACTCTTTTACCAATGAAAGTGGGATTGACCATTCATTATAACTCCCCATAGCTGAAAGGATGAACAAGTTTGGTGGGAAGGGGATTAAAACCTGTGACCTGCAGATTGTGAGTCAAGCACCCTAACCACCTGGCCATGACAAATTTCTGTTTGACCACACCAACAATTTATGCTAAATCCTAACTCTTCAAAGAGCATCAAAATATCCGACATCAGTTTACATTCAATGCACAGATATGTTTTCTGTTAATCAGTTACACACTGAAATTATATTATATAATCAATGTTCTTAAAATTGACATTTATTACTGTATCAGTGCATTGTAAACGACAACAAAATAATAAAATAAAATTATTATTAAAGAAGTTATCAGTAGAGAAGAAGACTAAAAATTTGTAGTTTTAAACTCAATGTATTTTAAATATATATGTATATATCTAAGTCAGATTATTAAACTTAATTGACACAGATATTACACAGTATAAAAATCTTGATTAGTCTTGACTGTAAAGTTTTCAATTTGTATTACTTTCTGCAAAATCTACTGTTAAGAACTAATTGTAGTGTGCTAAAAACAGCAAAAACTACAAACTTGCTTTATTTATTTTATTTACATTTCTTTTCCACTCCCCACAGAAGAAAAGCCATTAGTATTAAATAAAATCTAACTGAATTATTGGTTAAAGAACTTTCAATATGACTACACCTGTGTTGTGATCGGCATGAGCAGTATCTTTACCGAAAAGGTACAGTTCACCTTCATTAGTGACCAACGCACTTGTGCCATTGTTACAAGCTGTTGTTATAATGTGACGTCCCTCCATCTTAATCATCTTCTTTGGCTTGACTGGTTTTGGCTGTCTTCGTCCTTTCACTGTAAGCAAGTCATAATACAAAAATCTGTTAAGAATAATTATACTTTTCAGATGTACCAAATAGATATAAGATCTTGTTCTACTAACAGATCAGGAAAAACATGCCCATTCAGGCTTAAATACAAAAATAATAAGTCCATTCATGGGTTAAACATCAAAATTATAGAAATGATAAATCCATTTAAAAACATGCATCAAAAATAAAATAAGCCATTCAGGCAAAGACATCAGAAAAAAATAAAAAAATATACTTACATCAAAATATCTGAAGAAAGGCATTCATTCAGGTTTACAAAAATAACTAACTAACCCACTTAGGTGTGTG